ATATTTTTTTCTTATCTTCGGCTAGATTCCAAATATTTTTATTAAGTCCGCATGATTTTAATACAATATCAGAGTCTGAATATTTAAAATCTTATATCTTTAATTGAAGATGCTTCTTCCTGAATAATTTTCCCCATGGAATTTGCAACTTCAGAAATATTCGAGAATTGAATGGGCTTGTGCAAAGAACGCCACTGGCTCAATAATCGAAAATTGTTGGAATCTATCTTCGAATTGTTCCAAAAGTTTCTGAAGGTGACCTATATAAAAATATTTGAGTCAAACGAATTTTCACCGATGATTTTTTTTCATTCTCGGGTTGACTACGGTTGATATTGATAGAGTATACAGAGGACAATGGCGGGCGCACAAAAATAGCCCGCAGGCACAAGGTTATGTGACTAGAATAACACCCTTTCACCCATTTCCTACACCACACCAACATGAGAAAGAGATCCTTAAAGAATTTAACTAGCATCCACTCTACACTACATGGCGTATCGGTAGAAGCACCAGAACTCGAGCTCACGATTTAAACAGTGGTGGGAGGACTTTTCCAGGGTACAGGCTACTTTTTATGTTTTTAAGATGTAGCGGTCTACGCAATGGCGTAGGTGTGGCCATTCTGTACTGAAATTGTATGTTTTCTTTTTTTAGCACTTGTTTCCGCGACGTAGTATCTGTTTTTTAAAATATGTCATATTACTATATTTACTACAAAACCAGAAGTAATACAAAATTGTTAAGTTGCATGCTTGAACAACTATGAGAGCTACTGCTAGACCATTGAGCGTGGTCGTATTCAATGCAAGCATAGAACATACGTGAAACGATGAATCTGAAACCGATGTATGTACTTACATTGTTAGCTGCCGAATTCCGCGCCATCGCTGGACATGACATCAACACAAGAAGCCAATCCCGTGAAATAAGGGGTATGAGTTGATGTTTCAATAGCCAGGGGCGGCGTTCGGATCGATCGAATGTGAGAAATATTTTTTGTTACAAAAATTTTTATATATTGTCTGAAATATTATTGGGTGGGAATTTGATATTTCATTTAACATCTTTTTTTTTATTTCTTTATTTTTTACTCTATGTTTAATGCCAGTTTACTTTTCTGTTGAAATTTGAAGAGTTCGAGACGGAAGTATACGTTAAATCATGAAATTTGATATTATTACACATCTTTCACTAGTAAGTTTCTCACCATCCGGAAATGGGGTCACAACGGGCATTCCTTTCACGGTTGTAATACGGTTGTACTTCCTAATACGGTTGTAATTAGAGTCCTTAATGGATAGAAAGCCACATGAGATGTTTTATTTTGTTCTCGAATGTAGTTACTATGTTACAATAAACTCTTGAGAGATCCCCACCAACAGTAGACTTTTTTTTGAAGAAATTGACCTGCTGAAATGGCCTTCTTTCTCTTACATTTTTTTTACTCGTTTCAAATAATAAAAGATAATTATGTTCTTAATTTCGAATAGTTTTGTATTTAAGACTTAAAATAATATATATATATATAATTGTTATACTGACTTTTTGTTGGCAAGAATTATTCAAGTTTAATAGAGGCGTGTATCTATGTGAACAATTAATCTTTTTTAATTATAATTTTTCTTTGGAGAGAGATGCGTGGCCTTTTCCATTTTTGTCCGGAGCGGCAAAACTGCTAGAGCCGGCCCTGCAATAGCCAATTCCGTGTTATCATGAGAAGATTTGGTTATCAACATTTATTCTCCCCTTCATTTGACGTGAGGAGAAAAATTCATTTACACGGCTGGCATCACCTTTTCCAATTAAGGCGGCAATGAGCGTGTTAAGCTTCATCGGGCGCTTCCTATGAGGGTACATGTGTCGCCTACACATTTATAGAATCCTTTGCTTAAGTAAACGCAGTCTCATTTATTGTGAAAAGCTGCTTCTCCTGGCGTCGGTGTTTCTTTTAGTATGCGCGTCTTAGGTCTCGGTAAAGGCGGTCACCCCAAAATGTCTTGGCGGTCCACCGGTCGATCGCGATCGACTTAAAGCATGTCTCTGATTCAACTGAAACAACGTGTGCTACGCGTTCGAATCATGGCCCCTCGGCTACCGGACCGCTCTTTATCAATGAAAGCAGGTAGGAATGGTTTAAATGGTAACAATGTTAAAGAAGGAAAATCCTACTCAAATATTACCAGTGGTGAACTCCCCACCCCAAAGCCAAAACAACACCCAATCTAATAGTGAAAAACTTTGCGAAAACTATCGAGGAGTCCTTGATAAAGATAGCAAAGTATCCGACTTGGTTCAAAAGTGCTCCAACACTTTTCTATAATTTCCGATCTCATAAAAAGAAACCCCGAGATTTTAACTTTACTTTCTAAAATTAAAACTGCTCAAGCAGATCAGGAAAAAACTTGCCTCCTTCTGGAAGCTATGATTGAATGAAACTAAAAATTTTCTTTGACATTTAAACTTAAAATCTCTCAATAGTACTCTTATTCAAAATTTTAAATTATTTTAAATTTTAATTCATTAAATTTTTTTTATATATTTCCGTTTTTGTTCTTAAAATAAACTCCAGTGTAGTCTACCCTAAGCTTACTACCAACTTCCAACAGCCTATCAGAAAACAAGAAAGAACTTTCTCCCTCGAGTCACCCCATTGGCCCGTGGCCGCGGTAGCCGAGTGGTATAGGTATTGGACCGTGGCTTGCCATGTCACGAGTTCGAGCCTAGTACCACTAAAGACCCGCCGTGTAGGGCAGCGATGCACGTTAAATCTGTCGAGAGCTGAAACGTCCTCCCGTTGGTGTGGTGTGGTAGTTAGGAGAGGGGGGTGCCAGCTCAGGTGTCGTCCACGTCACTTGACCATGGTTCAAAATTACGTGGTCCGTCGCCAAAAGCCCTCGTGTAGCTGAACAGTGCGACGTTAATATTCAATCAATCACCCCATTGGCCCGCTTTTTTCAAGCCACGTCTCCTACTTTCCAGCCAAGTTTCCAACACAAAGATTTTCAGTACCAGATAGAGGGCTGAAGATTGACGCAATCGAACACTTCATTCCCCAAAAATCAAAAAAATTAAAAATGGTTTCTCAAACTTCCAATTTTTTGTTATAAAACATTAAATTTTCTATACTTTTTTACTCATTTTCTTCACCCCATACAAAGAGATTACTCTTGTTCTAGGACGACTAAAACTAGGTATATTCACTATTTAAAGAAGCTCAGTTTTAATTTTCACGTCTATTTGTTACCTGGGCTTAGAAAATATTAGAAATAGATATTACTAGTCCTCTATCAAAAAGAAGTTATATTGTACAGTTTCTGACATGATTTTATTTCTAGATGCTTTGAGGGTTGGCTCAGTAATATTAAAATTTCTCAAACACATGTATCTAAAAATGCTTCAATCGTGCTTTTCAGCTGCATAAAGTTTTTCAACCATTGAAATCGGAAATTTGCTTGAAAATATTCATAAAGGAGATTACTGAATTATTTGTTCCAGATTTCCTTATAAGCATAGAGATGATTTGCAAATAAGTATAAATCTGGATTTAAAAACTTCGACAAATTTCAAACTGACGATTTTATGAATCTAAAATTGAGCATTGGGAATATTTTCATCAAATTTAAAATTCAAATATTTAAATATGTTCCTACAGCAACTTTAAATTTTTATGGCTAAAATAAATAATTAAAATTCAATTAGGTGTATAAAACTACAACAATAAATAATTTAACAATTTACAAGTGAGTTTTAAAAGTTTTAACTATTAATTAAAAGAAAAAGGGGGTTTTATTCGTTCTTTTTTTTTCAATGTATAATTAACAATTTTTTTAAAAATTCAAACTTAGGATAAGAATTAATATTTTGAAAATCCTCATGATCAGCAGAAAACAATAAAGAATTTTCATCCTTATTAGTTCATACTTTCTTTTACTTCAATTTAACAGTCGTATCAAAATATTGACAAAATAAAGACGAAAAATAATCTGATGGTTTTGACGAAATAAAATTGTATATGTCCTATTATCAGTAGAAAGCAGTAATGGGAAATTTTGAATAATGGATTTTTATCTTCATTGATTTTCATTTAAATGTCGTCTGTGAGAATATTCTCGAATTTTATCATCTGAAACAGCTGCTCGCCATCTGTAATTTCTTGAATCTCATGCCTTCCAAAGGGCGGTTAAAATTTATTAAATAAATTTCTGGGATTCTTTCTTTGATTCCGAATCCTTCAACTTACTCCGAAAGGTAAGAATTTCATTTTTATACTTAATATTAAGGAGGGTCTCAGTCTAGATGTCTATTGTTGCTATGGTTACGCGATAATTAATATTAATTAAAGAATACTAGTCATTTCACTGTAAGTAATCCATTTGTTATCAGTGTGAGAATTTCTTTGGCTTATTTTAAATAGTTTTACAATAGTGGTTTTTAAAAAAATTCGTAAGTATTTTACACGCGTTAATTGCATTTCAACGACACGAATTTACTAACCAGAATAAAAATACTTTTTAAATCTGCTTAGTGAACTTAGTCCATTATTTTTTATTTTGCTTATGCTAGAATTCTCACCTGCTTTTACCAATAATCAACTGGATTTTAAAAGTTTGAAATATACACCAAAGCACACTTTCTTTTTAGCCTTTAATTCCAGCGAAAATATTTTTTAAATAATATAAAGCTAAAACTATTGAAGGCTTAAACTGTTCCTTGATAAATTTAGCAAAGAAGAATTAAAGATGATGCGATACTTGAAGTCGTTAAATGGGATGCCAGCTTAGTTAGCAAACACTACACTTTTTTCTCATGATAATATTTAATAGTTCTCATAAGAGTGGAATGTGATATATTTATCATTTTTTAATCTACTATCTTCCGCAACATTTTGATAAAATAATTTATTATAAATCAATGTTTAATTCTTATGGATTGATAACAAAATATTTCATGAATTTCGGTTCCGAATGATGTTTCAAATATAATACAATGAATAGTTAGACTCTCGGTGGCGCAACGGCACCTCGTCTGACTCCAGATCAGAAGGTTGCGTGTTCAAATCACGTCTGGGTCAGGAGGTTTTTTTTTTATTTTATTAACTCAGTAATGACAATATATGTTTTTTTGCGTTATGAAACAATTACAAGAAAAAGTAAATATAAATAATCTGCATCAAATTTTTCGTCCGATTAAAAATATATTATTCATTAAATATTTAATCATGAAAGACGCTTTAAAATGGCATTTACATTCTATAGGAATCACCACGATCCACCTCAGAAATAATTCAGTTGGAGTGTTTATTTATACATCACACTATATAAAACAACACGGAGGCCATTGGCGACGAACTCCGTAATTTTGAACCACGATGACGAGGACAACAGATGAGCTGGCACCCACCTCTCCTAAATTTACACCCCGCCAACGAGAGGACAGTGAATCTCAGCAGATTAAATATGCATCGGCTCCTCTAAGTGGTGAGGCTTCAGTAGGTATTGACCACTAGCCACCTTAGCCTAGTTGATGCTCCACCTTGACCACTAGGCCACGGTAGACTAGTGGTCAAGGTGACGGACTCGTCACTGGCCTGTCATGTATTTGAGCTTAGTACCGCTGAAGACCCTTCGTGTAGAAAAGCAATGCGCGGTAAATTTGTCGAGAGCTCAAATATCCTCCCATGGGTGTGGATGTTAGGGGAGGTGGGTGCCAGCTCAGGAATCGTCCTCGTTACCGCAGTAAAAATGACTAGGTCCGTCGGCAAAAGTCCGAGTAGCTGAATATTGGACGTAAAAAACACTCTCACTCACTCGTTCAGTGGAACTAAGGCTCGAACTCATGACACTCGCACTCCAAGTGCATGACCTTTACCATTAGGCTACAATGGCCCCTAATTCAGTTGGAATAAGGATGTTACAGCTGTCCTGGTTGCTTCTATCCCGTCGTGGGTTCGAGTCTTGCACCGCCACGTAGAAAGACATGCATCTGCCGATGTTCAAGTCCTCACGAGAATGGGATGTGGACATTTGGAGAGGGAGGGTGCCAGTTTCTATAGATGGCATCCTCATCACTTGACCACTGGCACATCTTATCCAGAATTGGGTATTGTGTAATAAACCCTATCAGTTGCCGGCCCACCTAGTAGGGTGGTTATGACTCTCGGCTTGTAATAGAGTGGGCACGGGTTGGAATCCCGGATAGGCATGGATGTATCTTCGGGAAAAGAACTCGCACTTTCGCTTGAAATGGATTCTCGTCTCGAATGGAAAGCAATGCACCTCTTCTGATGTATGCTGGGATCACTGTTTGTAATAAATGTTGAGATTCTTCTGGGATTATATTGTATGCTTTCTATTCATCTTTCTCTCGCGTAATTCGTATGTATCCCAGGATGAAATACACTATAACAACAACCCGATGCTAATTTGATATCACGGGGCATGGCGCCAAGCGCTGCTTGGAGCGAAAAAGGAATCACGCCAAGCAGCGCTTGTTGTCGCTGGCGGAATCCAAGATGGCGGCCTAGCGGTATCAAATCGTTAGGGAGGTAATTTTAAAAAATGTTTTGAAATAATTTAAACACATATTTCAAAAGAAGAATATGGGAAGAGATTGAGAATAACCAAGATCAATCAATAAATAATGAATAATAATATAATCTAATAAAAAAATTGCATGTACCTACTAATAATATTATGCAGTATATAATAATTATATTTTATAACATAATTTAATAGTAATTATATATAATATTCATATAGTATGATTTAATAATTATTATATATATAATAATTTTATAATATAATTTAATAGTAATTATAAAAAAGAATAATCATCGTATTGTAATATAAAAAATCATACATAAAGAATACTCATATAACGTAATATTAATTATAAATAACATAATATTAATTATAAATAACATAATAAAATAATAATAAAGAACATATAATAATTATAAATAAAATAATATGTCATAATATTTATAAATAAGTATAGTAAAAAACAAAAAATTCTAAATAACGAATATTATATAATTATTACATATAATAATAATTGTATTTTTATATATTAATAAAATTGCATAATATACGAGTATATTAAAATTAATAATGAATATCAATTAAAAAAAGTACTGAGAATACTTTCAATAATCCAAAAACTGCAAACATATCAAGGTAGCCATATTGTAATGTTATCGTTCATCTTGGCGAACATAAACAACAACTTGGCGCGTGCCCCGTGATGTCAAACTCATTCGAACAACCCTATTAATTACTCGTCACTTGACCGGACATGGTTCAACATTACAACTTTCGTCGCCAATAGCCAACGCTTTACTTCAAAGTGCGGCCTTGATGCGCATTGAATCGAAGAATCTGCAACTGGAATTTTATATTTAACACCAATGTTTTTCTTTTCTGTAGACAAAACAATGCGTCCGTTGATTTGCATCTCATTACTGCTGTTGGGTCTGGCATGTCCGGCGCTGTCCGCCAGCTGTCCAGAGGAGGATCTTCCTTCCACCTGTGAGTGCGAGTCTGAATTCGTGGAAGACGAAGTGGATCTCGAGCTCTCATGCACTGGCAGTGACCTGTCCGATGTGAAGCAGGCCCTGCGCCAGTTGGGCAGCCGGCACCGCCTCCACGTGTCTTTGGATGAGGTGAACATCGGAACATTGGATTCCAGGTTTTTCGAAGGATTCAACCTGGTCAAGTTGGAAATTTCCCATTGCGAGGTGGACAGTCTAGCAGAGGAAGGGGCTAAGCCCTTGACCGGTCTGGAGAACTCCCTGCAGGTAGGATTCGTACGCCTCAAGTTCTCGATGACTTACCTGGCTCTTTTATACAGTTACTTGATTTATGAGAGCGTATATATTAGATTTTTTCAGCTTCTACTATTAGTTCACATTCCTCTCTCTATATATTTATTTATAAAAAATCTTGTTCAAAATTTCAATCCTTTATAAAATACTTCTTATTCATCCACTCAAGTTCAAATACACTTTTTTAAACTTGCAGTGGATGACACTTGATGTTAATACAGTGTTATCCATTGATTCTATTTAATTAATGAATAAATAGTAGCAAACAAAAATAATAGTCCAACATCATATATAAAAAGGAAAGTTGCTCGTTGTGTCCTTGTAGCGCAATGGATAGCGCGTTGGACTTCTAAACCAAACCTGGGATGGCCTAATTTGATTTCTTTTTACTATACTATTTTATTGGAATAGTTAAATTTAATTAATGAATAAATAGTAACAAGCAAGAAGTAATAGTTCAACACCCTATGTAGAAAGGAATATGGAAAATCGCTTTCTATTTTGCCACTTAATATTGTGATTCTGTCATACGTATATACATATTTATATTAATTGTAATTATTTAATAAAAAGTATTTAAAAAAAAATTTTCTATGTTGACCTAAGTAGGATTTGACTTAAGGTATCCGACTACGTTCGAAACCGTGATTTTAAAAAAAACGCATAAATGAGAATAATTTTCATGATATTTAGTGTCACTTAGATTGGAATACATGTATAAAACCGTTTTAAGGACATTTTGATAAAAAAAATTTATTTAAATACAAAATTTCGGCAAAAAATTAACTTGGAGAACATTTTGAAAAAAGATTATTCCTTTTGTGAAAAAGGCTTCTATTATAATAATATTTTGCCTGTATATGGCTCAGACTTCTGTTCAGAGGCTCAGCTAGTATTTTTGAAATATATAACTTGGAAGAGGATTTATCCATGTTTTACGACAACACAGAAGGGAGAAATTTTAAGAAAAAAACTCTGATAATTATATATATTTCAATTGGTTGTAAAACTCTGAAAGTAATGTGAACTTTTCAAAAATTATAGTTGAGCCTCTGTACAGAGGTTTGAGCTATATACAGGCAAAATATTATTATAATAGAAGCATTTTTCACAAAAAGAGAACATTTTGAAAAAAGGTTATTCTAAGTTAATTTTTTGCCGAAATATTGTATTTAAATAATTTTTTTTGTCAAAATATCCTTAAAACAATTTTATACATGTATTCTAATCTAAGTGACACTAAATATCATGAAAAGTATCCATTTATACGCCTTTTTAAAATCACAGTTCCGAACGTAGTTGGATACTTTAAAAAATTTTTATGTTACTTGTTTCAAACTGAGGTCGTCTTTCTAAAATGTCAGGGAGGTTTTAAAAGATCATAGTTTTCAGTCTTACCCCTTTTCTTGTATTCGGTATGAGATTTTCAAGGTAGAGAAAAACCATAGTTCGTGGAACCTTTTTAAATCGGTGCAAAATAAAAAGCTATTGTTACATGTTAGAAAATAGATTTATCACTCAAGGTAGGGTGAACTGAAATATTTTCAATATTTGAAGGTCATAATAGACACTAATCCATGGGTTCGTAAAATAGTTTTTCTAAACCATTAAATTACCTGCTGAAGGAAAATTTAAGATTTGCAAATGAATGTGTTTTTTTCTTATTATGCACTGTTTTTCTTTCTTTTAAATATTCAACAAGTGGTATATGTATTACATATTCATGCAAAGTTCAGTATTATATTATCACATTTATATTTGAAGTAGCCTGAATGTTTTTCTCATGGAGTAATGCTTCTGATGCGAAACGCCCACCTCTCGGGTACGTTCAACAGGCAATATTCGAGTCATTATTTCTCTAGAGGAAATTATTGGGGAAGTTTTTCCTTGCATCGTAGAACACGTGTAATACAAGAGGGCTAGTTTCCGCTAAGCGGATGCAGTTCCACCACACAAACGATTTTATTTACGAGGGGTGTGGTGATCCATGGCTGAAAAGGGCAGGTTGATTCATACGTGAAATATCAGCTAACATTCGCCTACATGCATCCACGATATATGGTCGTGGAAAGATCACTGGAACAAAAAAATGTTGCAAGTTTGAGAGGTGCCAGTGTGACGTCATCACGCTTGGATTGACGCATCCACCGACAAGAGGTGAAAGCTCCACAAATAACTTTTGCCTCCCTTTTTCAGCATGTGCAGAACACTCTTGATATACTCATATAGACCATAACCATAAACCGTCT